AACAGGAGATAGCAGGTGGCAGGCAGTGGCATATGAGAAGCAATGACAGATTACAAGCAGTGAAAAGTCGTGACAAGTCGTGACAAGTGGTTGGACGTTAGATTGTGTTTGGTTAGAACGGGTTAGGTTAGGTTAGGTTAGGTTAGGTTAGGTTAGGTTATACGGTAGACTAGTGTGAGTTAAATTGGGTTAGGTTAGGTTCCGTCAGCGAAGAATGAATGATCTGATGTAGTACACACACACAAACACACACATTATGATCATGTAAGTTGAAAAGGTGTGTGTGTGTGTGTCTGTCTGTCTTAGAATGAACTTGAATATAATTAAACGAATTTCAACTGATCTACCTGACACTGTTTACATTTACAGAGACAGTGACCAGACCGAATTGAACTGAAATGTCGTCACTTCTTTTACACAATTAAAGAAAAAAAAAAGAATCCACGAAACGGGAGGAAATAGCGACGAGGCGTTTGGAAAGGGAGAAAATGGGGTCGTTAGAGGTCATAGGAGAGAGAAAGATGTCGTTAGGAAGAGGAAGGGGTTGTCGAGAAGAGTAAGAGGTCACCAGAGAGAGTAGGTCGTCACAGTGAGAGTAAAAGGTCGTCAGAGAGGGTCGTTGAAGAGAGTAAGAGGTCGTACAAGAGAGTAGTAAGAGATGGTATCGTCAGAGAGAGTAACAGGTCGTCAGAGAGGGTCGTTGAAGAGAGTAAGAGGTCGTACAAGAGAGTAGTAAGAGATGGTATCGTCAGAGAGAGTAACAGGTCGTCAGAGAGGGTCGTTGAAGAGAGTAAGAGGTCGTACAAGAGAGTAGTAAGAGATGGTATCGTCAGAGAGAGTAACAGGTCGTCAGAGAGGGTCGTTGAAGAGAGTAAGAGGTCGTACAAGAGAGTAGTAAGAGATGGTATCGTCAGAGAGAGTAACAGGTCGTCAGAGAGGGTCGTTGAAGAGAGTAACAGGTCGTCAAAAACATTAATGAAAAGGTTGGTCTGGTTGGCAGCGTCTGTCCGTATGTCATTAAGCTGTCCACCAGGTCCAACAAATCTCTATGCATAATAATTAACCCGGCAATACAATAAGAGCCATCAAAGCTTAATGACTAACTCAATAATGATTTTCCAGTCAGGTTAACTCCACCGATCCGTTCATCAAAGCCTAAAAAAAAAAAAATTCAATGTAGTTTCCTTTGCAAGAGTATACTAAAAGTTTTAATTATAACCATTTTTTTCAAGGTCATTAAAAATAATTTGATTCCATGTATAGTGAATGATTTTTAATTTAGTGAATATTTCAATGGTGAATTACCCTTCCGTGATCACTGTACATTTATAAGAGAGATAATTTATTTTTGAATGCATATCTGTATGGTCGAGTTGTTATGTTATGTTTTAAGGTATGGTCGAGTTGTTATGTTATGTTTTAAGGTATGGTCGAGTTGTTATGTTATGTTTTATGGTATGGTCGAGTTGTTATGTTATGTTTTAAGGTATGGTCGAGTTGTTATGTTATGTTTTAAGGTATGGTCGAGTTGTTATGTTATGTTTTAAGGTATGGTCGAGTTGTTATGTTATGTTTTAAGGTATGGTCGAGTTGTTATGTTATGTTTTAAGGTATGGTCGAGTTGTTATGTTAGGTTTTAAGGTATGGTCGAGTTGTTATGTTATGTTTTAAGGTATGGTCGAGTTGTTATGTTATGTTTTAAGGTATGGTCGAGTTGTTATGTTATGTTTTAGGTATGGTCGAGTTGTTATGTTATGTTTTAAGGTATGGTCGAGTTGTTATGTTATGTTTTAAGGTATGGTCGAGTTGTTATGTTAGGTTTTAAGGTATGGTCGAGTTGTTATGTTATGTTTTAAGGTATGGTCGAGTTGTTATGTTATGTTTTAAGGTATGGTCGAGTTGTCATGTTATGTTTTATGGTATGATCGAGTTGTTATGTTATGTTTTAAGGTATGGTCGAGTTGTTATGTTATGTTTTAAGGTATGGTCGATTAAGTATGCAATGTTTTAAGGTATGGTCGATCAGATATGCAATGTTTTAAGGTATGGTCGATTAGGTCTGCAATGATTGAAGTAAGTTTGGTCGACTCGTCATGCTGAACCTAAATACAGCATTAGTGGTGGTTTCAGAATTCAATAACCAGAGTCGGGATCTGCGAGGCGGCCGGGCTGTCAAAAGTTTAAATTGCGGAAAGTTTGGATAAAGTGTAAAGGTATTAATAGTTTAGGGAAAATACCAGTAGTTTGGTAAAAGGATCGATAGTTTGGGGAAAAATTGTTATTAGGTTGTATAACAATATTAAGTCTGGGAAAAGTAATAGTGTTTAAAAAGTATTGATACGTTATGTAAAATATTAATATTGTTTACAAAGTAGTGAAGTACTAATAACTTTATGGTTTATATATATAGTTTCTATAAGATTTTAATAGTTGTAAAATAATATTGGCCATAAATTAAAAAATCATATAAACCATAAGTATATAAATGTATATACTATGAAAAATTTATATAAGCATAAATATTTAAATTGTCAAAAATATATAAATTGCCTTAAGGTATTATATTTAGATTGTGTGAAGGATACTATACCCAGACAGGTAAAGAGATATAGTTGACGACCTAATTGTTTGAGGGGAAGATAAATAAGGTCAATAAAGGTCACAGATAACTAATGGGACACAGGGAAGGACATGATGAACGAGGGAGAAGCGGTGAATGAGAAGATAACAGATGGGGAGTGAGGAAATGAAGGAGGAATATAGAGAAAGAAGGAGAAGGATGTGGAAATTTGTGTGCAGAGAGAGAGAGAGAGAGAGAGAGAGAGAGAGACAGGAACGAGCATTTTTAATACACAATGAGACAGAGAGAAAGAGGAACAGAGAGATAAAGAGAGAGAGAGAAAGATGTAAACGAGTTTTTAACAAGTTCCTTCGGGAGAGTCCAATTGCACTTACTCGTTAACGGATCAAATTGGCCTACACACCTAAGGCCCCTGTCACTGAGCACCATCCACGAGGTAACAACCCTAACCTAACCTAACCTAAGCTAGCCTAGCCTGACCCAACCTAACTTAACCCAATCGAACCCAATCTAACCTAACGCATTCCTACCCAACCTAACGTAACCTAACCTAACCTAACCCCCCACCCCATAAAAAAATAAAAAAATAATGAATAAACAAGATTGATAATAGCTTCTTTCCTTATAAGTAAATGCCCCTTAATTAAAACCTACCTGCCAGGTAACTGTACAAACTTTACTAATAGATTTAGGAAACATACAAGACTCCTTGATGTGTATGTGTGTATAGATGTTAGTATGTATATTTCCTGTTTATGTACATGATGTCAACTAATACATGCCAGTTAGCTACATGTATACAGTATAGACTTAGAGATATACACAACTGCCTATCACGTATGTATATAGACCACTGTGGTCTTGTTATTCTGGCATATAAGACGGTCACCACCAACTAATATTTACCAATCATTATTTTTTCCTCTTATGCAATTTTTAATATAATCTGTCAGGACCTTTTATACAACCCATACCAATGTAAACACGTAAATGGCTTCCTACACAGTGACTTACCCTCTAACCATTTACAACAGCAACAAAAACAGCAGCAACAACAAAAATATTAATAATAATATTCTCTTCATATGCAAATTAACTTGGCTGTAGAACCATTTGTATGTTTTCCTCCTAATAATCTTTCTCTCCCTCCTCACCCCACTCTCCTTACTTTCCTCTCATCCCTCCCCACCTCCTCTTATCCCTCCCCACCTCCTCTCATCCCTCCCCACCTCCTCTCATCCCTCCCCACCTCCTCTCATCCCTCCCCACCTCCTCTCATCTACAGTAATTAGTTGCATAGAGGGGAAGGGAATTATGTAGCTGGATTTTGTTAAGGGCAAAAAGTATAATGTCGGGGGAACGTGGATGTTGTCAGGGAAAGAAATTAATGATGTCAGGGAAAAATTTTTATTATTGGGGAAAAATTTATGTCAGTGAAAGGTATGGATGTGTTGGTCAAGGAAAATGGGTGTTGTCGGAGAGAAGGTAATGATATCTGGGAAGAAAAGGATATTATTAGGGAAAGAAATTGATGTCGGGAAAAGAAATAGATGTTGTCAGGGAAAAATATGTCAAGGAAATAAATTGTTATTGTTAGAGAAAAATATGGAAGAAGGAAAGAAAGTCATCGGGAAAATTTGTGGTGAAAACAAATATATTAATACAGAAAGGAAAAAAAATGGTCTGACCAACGTGTGTGTTTACTGAAGGTGGGGGATGGTCAGTGTGTGTGTGTGTGTTCCTGCCCCACTGAGAGGAGAGAATCATTTGTTATAATTACACACACACACACACACACACACACACACACACACACACACACACACACACATACATACATACACACACACGAGTTAAAAATGAAATGCCATCAATAGATTATAAATTGATATATGACCCATATTACAGTATAAAATTTCTAAATAATATATTTTCATTTTAGTTAAATTAATTAATTGTTCATATAATTATTTTGGTAGTATCATTCAACGCTTAATTGTGTCAGGTGATTTACAGGTGTGTCAGGTATATTGTTGTTCATTCACCTGTGTAACTCATTTGCAGGCACCGCTGCACACACACACACACACACACACACACACACACACACACACACACACACACACACACAACTGTATTAGTGTTTGGATCCGTGAATATATACAGGGTCATCCAAAACGAATGCCCAGATTTTAAAAGATTTTATATTAAAATCTTGGCGTTATATAGACGTCACTCCTTGTCCAATCAGGTGTGAAGGGTAACATACACAGACGAGTTCATAAGACGGCCTCCCTGTATACCGAGAAAAAGGTTTGGTTTATATCTACCGTATCAGCACTCAGGGGACGCCACGCCTACGGAATTCACTTTTAACAGAGGTGACTAAACTGACCGTTGGTTTCTCTCTCTCTTACAGGCAGCAGTGGGGAGTTTAACGAGTCGTGGCCGGAGCACAAACAGAAGCTATGGCTCAAGCAGATGCTCCTACGCCGTGAGGGAGAGTGTCATCTCTACCAGCTCCTCGAGGCCAACACCACCTCCTCCGACCTACACCAGGAAGGTTAGTGTCTCCTCCTTAGTCCTTACCCCTCCCGAATACGACAATACAGGCCTGCCTGTGTACGATAACAAGCTCCTCCCAGCGATATCAGCCCTATAATGGTTGCCCTTCGTGTAACGAGGATGGCCGCCCCAAGGGCCACCCAGGCGTGATTTTTTTTAAGGTGTAGAAGCTGTCGTCAACACAACAACCTAAGTTAACGAGTTGCATGATCCAGTGTCAAGGAATAGTCCGGACAACTCGCCAACTGCACTGGCTAACCATTACCCTGGAATACGATTCGCAATTCGATTATCATCCAGATCCCCGATTACTGCTGGGTAGACAGAGACAAATGGCGTAAAGAAACTTGCCCATAGTTTCAGCCCCGCCCCCTTATACTGTACACTCACAAACTCTTCCCGTCTACCATAACATAATTGCCTGCGTACGATAACTGAGCTTTATGAATGTTAATTATAATACCTCTCTTTTTTCATTCTGGATACTATATTAAATACCAGCAGAGTGCAGGGCTTAAATAATGATAGTTTGTATCTTTACGACCAGCCTGTGTCTCTAATTTTCACACAATTCACAGTATTACTATAACTGAATAATGAGATTCACTGGTTGCCAAATATCGCTACTGCCACGACTATTTTTTTTTACAGTACTAAAACAATTACCACTATATTTTCGCTAGATTTGCTATTATTACTATCGTTTACTGATAATACTAGTTACATTATTTTTATCATTAGGACTATTATTACTCTTTTTATTATTGATGCGCCAAAATATATTCAGTTTCACACCGCCAAATTAATGCTATTATTGTATTGCCATATTTACTAATAATAATATAACTATTTGTATTACCATTACTATTTCTATTACTTTTACTACTACTGTTAACTTAACCTGGATCACACTATGAAGCGATACAAATAAACTGTAGATTAGTTACAGAATACAGCACTGAAACATGAAAAATATTCCCAAGTTAAATATATAAGACACGAGTAGAGAGAGAGAGAGAGAGAGAGAGAGAGAGAGAGAGAGAGAGAGAGAGAGAGAGAGAGAGAGTATACAAATAAATAATAATAAAAACACAATAAAGTACAGACACTTGCCTTAGCCATTAACGAAGGCATACACTGGAGGTATTAGCCGTGTCAACAGAGAGGTGAACCATATGCCGTTTAAACACTCCAGTATATAACGTTAGTGTTAACTAATTGGTTTATGAATATTTCAACCTAATGTACAGGACCATAGAGTGCATGTTTCTTTAACTATTCAGGATATTGTTAGTGGAACGAATTAGGTGTCAGTAATATTATTGTGTGTGTAGGTGTGTGTGCGCGCGCGTGTGTGTGTGTGTGTGTGTGTAGGTGTGTGTGTGTGTGTGTGTGCGTGCGTGCGTGCGTGGCAATGTGCGTGCCGTGCGCGTGCGCGTGCGTGCGTGTGTGTAATGTGTGTGCGTGCGTGTGTGTGTGTGTGTGTGTGTGTGTGTGTGTGTGTGTGTGTGTGTGATGAACAAATAAGCAAGGGCAAGATAAGCAACTAGATGGGGTAATCAAAGAGATACCAGAAATTATAGTCCAGGTAAAATAAGATGCCTTTGCCCAGGCAGTGGCTGGATATATAGCATACTGTGGGCTTAAAGCCTGTGTTTCGGTACATAAGGAGGAGAAATGACTGGCACTGCACTTTCAGCTATTACTACTCCCATACTGTGAAGTTAGAATACCCATTCACAACCTACTCTCTCTCTCTCTCTCTCTCTCTCTCTCTCTCTCTCTCGTTCTTTCACACACACACACACACACCTACACACACACACACACACACACACACACACACACACACACACACACAGACACACACACACAGACACACCCCACCCTCTCCCTCATCTGTCGTCAAATTGTTAAAGTCTTGACTTGTTAACTCATTCTATCATCCTGCCTCCCGTTCTTTCCTTCCTTCCTTCCTGCATTCCCTCCTCCTTCCTTCCTTCTTTCCTTCATTCCTTCCCTCCCTCCTTCCATCCATCCTTCCTTCTCTTCCCTTTTCTGAAAGCTGTGAGGCTGAAGGTTGGTCGCCCACTAACATGTTGGCTAGGCTGCCCTCTCCTCCTCCATCACCCTTCCTGCCCTTCCCCTCTTCCCTCCTCCCCCCCACTCCTGCTTCCCCTCTCCCTCCCTCCACCCCTCTCTCCTCTATCTGTCCATTGCATCAATTTTGTGAGTCACTTTTGTATGCTTTAGCGGTCACTCTAACTTCTTCTTCTCTTTATCGTTTACTCTTCCGTATCGTCCTATTCTTCCTCCTTCTCTTTTGTATCAGTGGTTCATGTTTGCCGTCTTTCTCCTGATTCCCTTCTATATCATACACTTTTTATTCATTTCCTTTCTCCCTTCTTCATCAATCACACCTCATTATCACCCATCTCTCTCTCTCTCCTCCTTCCTTCATCAATCAAACCTCATTATCCTCTCTCTCTCTCTTGCTTATTGTTGCTTTTACTAATTCTTCTCTTGTTTTCTTTCTTTCTTAATTTCTCTCGTTTTATTCTCTTGTCTTCGCTAGTATATTCTCAATTTCTTCGGCTATTGGTCTTTCCTCTCTTGTCGTCTCCGTTTCTTCATTTATTATTATTATTTTGTATTTTTTTTGTTTCTTCCACTATCGTTCTCTTGTCTTCTCTGTTATCCTTTTCTTCTCTTCTCTCTCTTCCTGTTACTCTCTTCTGTTACTTCCCGTTATTCTCTTCTCTTCTCTCATTTCCTCAGTTTTTCTCTTCTCTTTCTACCTTTTACTTTTCAATTATTTCTTTCTTTCTGTTCCTCTGTTTTTCTCTTTAGTCCCGTTACTCTCTTCTCTCTTTCTATTACTCTCTTGTCCTTTCTCTTTCTTCCTGTGACTCTTTTCTCTTATTTCTTTCTTCCCGTTGCTTTCTTTTCTTCTTTCTGTCTTTAATCTCTTACTTTGTTACACTTCTTTAATTTAACAGTAAAACGTCGTCTTGATTTATGATTCTCTTATTCTTTCTTTCTTTATCTCTTAATTTTTCTTCCACAGTGAGAAAAATATTACTTTTTCTTTCTTGTAGTGTCGTCTTTGTTCATTCTTTTATCTTATTTTCTTTCTTTCTGTATCGCTCGATTCTCTTCTTTCACATTTCTTTCTTTTTCTTTCTTTGCGTATGGTGACTCAGCCGTTTTACTGTATATCAACAACATACTCTCTGGCACAACGTCGACTTGGATTATTATCATTCTCTCTCTCTCTCTCTCTCTCTCTCTAGCACAGTAAGACATTCCAATAATTCGCGTTTCATCTTTCGGTCAAAAGTTTCATTCAGCAACTTGTCTTAACACCAACATTCTTCTCTTCGTTGACAAACCGTCGACTTGGTTTATTGTTCTGTCCCGTTATCGCCTTTTCTCTTTTTCTCGTGCAAACTAAACACTCGAATAATTCTTCCTTTTATCAACGAACTTCTGTGCTCGTCCACCGTAACACACACACACACACACACACACACACAGCATCTCACAATAGTTAAGGCCCGCCGTGAGAGGACCGTGAACTGGGAGGTAAACAAAAGCTGGCGGGCAAAGCATCGACAGAACCCAAGTAAAACCCAGGGAAATCCCGGGTTTAGGGCTCAGTCTACTGGGCGTACGGTGCACATTAGGCTCGGTCGAGGACCTGTTATAATAATAATAGTAAGAAGAAGAAATACGATTTGTATTGTATAATAATAATAATAATAATAATAATAATAATAATAATAATAATAATAATAATAGTGGCTGCACTTGAGACAGGTACCGTCTCACGTCGAGTATTCTCTTTTATTAAAGTTGTGATCTTAATGTCGACCTTTTAACCCTAAAATTATAGGTTTGGTCATTGTAAATGTGAATAGGGATACCAAACGCTGTAGTCATTTCCCTTCATGTATTGTGCTGTAAAACTCCTACATAAAAACACCATTGGCCAACCTAACGTACTCTGGCACACCGTCTTTGTGAGAAATAAAAATAATCTACTGTCATAAAAGAAAATACGTGAGTAATGGTGACTAGCTGAAGGTAAATACATTTTAGGCTGCGGAAAATCGTCAGACTACTTCAGACCAGGTGTTATGCCTCACTGGCCTCTTACTTTGACTCCCTCCCCCCTGTGATGCCAGACAGGATGTGCACCTTACTGCCAGGCGTACGATGACTCTCCACTATTAGATCCTCTTTCATTTCCCATTGACTTTCGGAACGATTGATCATCACGTGTTACTCTTGAAGGCTAAATGCAATACTGGTGTAGAGCAGGAAATTACTTAGGAATTATTATTGTAAAGTTTGGGTTTGATCCCAGATGAAAGGGTGAATAATTATGATCTCTTGTAGGTGTAAATAATTGTTATTAAAGTGAAGTTATCATGATATATAAGTGCAATTATATTTGAGTGTGTTTTAGTCATTATTTTACTACTAAGCTTAATACCCAACAAATTGCATTACGACGAAGGCATAATCTGATGTTAATGTTTGTTAGCTATAACTGCATGGAAAATGTTGCATACATTGTAACACTGTTCCATTTGAAACACCCTTCTCTGGTTTAAACACTCTGAATTAGGTTAATGAGATTATTAACGATGCTACTCATTTACAGTATAGCTTATCTTTATGCAGAACAGTTTAAAATTTCGAAAAGATTGTACACTACTGGTATATTGAAATTATTGCTGGGTTGAAATTATCCCGTGGTATGGTATATATATAGTATGTGGCTCCAGCAGACAGTAAAATGATAGAATACACAACACCAACAGAAGGATGTCTCAGGTGACCCGGGTTGTGAGGGTTCCACTGCCCACAAGTTATACGCTGGGAATATTTAATTTTCTATACAAACATGTCCAACATATCAGATGCTTCAGTTACTACGCTGCTTTCTTTTTATAATGAATATTAATTAATAGTATTTCAAATTATATCACG